TCTAACAGATGCAGAGTTCAAAACGCTGGTTATAAAGATGGTCAATGAACCTAAGGGCAGTGTAGATGAACTCAGTGAGAACTTTAACAAAGAGATAAAAAACATAAAAATGGAAATGGAAATTATAAAAGGGAACCAGTCAGAAATGAAGATGAAGATGAAGATGAAGAGTGTGTTAGAAGGAATCAACAGAGTGGATAAAGAAGAGGATCAAACCACTGATATAGAGGATGGGAAAGCTACGGACACTCAATCAGAACGGCAGGAAAAAAAAGCCAAGGCTATAATAATAATTTAAGAAGCCTGTAGGACATGATTAAAGGTAAAAATGTGTCTTGGAGAACCTGAAGGAAAACAAGATGTTGAACAGCTATTTGAAGAAATAATGATGGAAAATTTTCCTAACCTGGTGAAGAAAATAGACGTACAACCCCAGGAAGCTCAGAGAGTCTCAAGACAGAGGAACCCAAAGAGGCCTACAGAAAGACACATCATAATTAAAATGCCAAAGGTTAAATACAAAGACAGAATCTTAAAAGTAGCAAGAGAAAAGCAGTTATCTACAAAGGGGCACCCATAAGACTGGCAGTTGATTTCTCAAAAGAAACCATGCAGGACAGAAGGGCTTGGCACAAAATATTCCATGTGATGAAAACCCAGGATCTACAAACAAGAACACTTTATTCAGCAAAGCTATCATTTAGAGTCTAAGGACAGATAAAGAGCTTCTCAGACAAAAATAAGCTAAAGGAATTTATCAATACCAAGCCAGTATTACAGGAAATATTGGAGAGATTTCTTTAAGAAAAAAAAAAACAAACAAAACAAAACATGTATCAAAAACAGGAATAAAGAATGGTAATAACTACATCCCCATCAACAAGTACGTCAAATGGAAAAGAATTAAGTGTTCCAACCAAAAGGTAAGGTGGCAGAATGGATAAGAAAACAAGACCCTTACATATGCTGCCTGTAAGAGACTCACTTCAAATTAAAAGACACACAGACTAAAAGAAAGGGGATGGAAAAAGATATTGCCTTGATAGTCCTAGAAGGTTTTGCGCTAAATGAAGTAAGTCAGATAGACAAAGATAAATATCACATGATTTCACGTACATGCAGAATCTAAAGAACAAAATAAACAGCAATAACAACAAAAATGGAAACAAACTCATAGATATGGAGAATATTTTGAGGGCTACTAGACGGGAAGGGGTTTGGGGGGACAGTGATAAAGAGTGAAGGGATTAAGAAATACAAATGGATAATTACAAGATAGTCATGGAGATATAAAGTGTTGCATAAGGAAAATAGTCAACAATGTAATATGTAAGGGGGAAGAGGGGTACTAGATTTAATGGGGTGATCACTTGAGCTCTAATCACTATGCTGTACAACTGAAACTAATACATTATTGTATGTCAACTATAATTGAAAAAAAGCTTATTGAATTGTACAATGTAAGTATGAGCAACTAATTGTCTATTACATTACAATAAAGCTGGGAAAGAAAAAAGAAAATGAATGCAACTAATTTTGTAGTACTTATATTTAATCAGGTTGACACTACTGCTCTGTTTCTTTGAAACTAAAATAATATTTAGTAGAATCATTTCTTTGATTTCCTCCTTAAGCTACTTTACTCTGAAGGCATTTTATTTTTGCATAAATGAAGTTACTATAAATCTGTTTAACAGGAAATTTGTCTCTTGTTCCAGGAAAGTAATACTAAAATGTCTGCATTGTTTGATCTTTATTATGATTTCACAAGTTCATTATTATTATACTGTTATTTTTGTTTTTTAGGGTTACAAAATTTTAAAATGTACTACAGTATGATGAGGTACAATATAGATTATTCACTTGAAACATGTCGTAATTTGGCTTTTTCCATTGTCTTCATTTTTGTTTTCTCATACAGATGACATAATAATCCTTAGAAAGATAGAAAATACAAGCACTGAAGAAAGAGAAATGGAAACACAGAATGAGAGAGAAAAGAATTCAGTTTCCAAATGTCAACCAAATGCTTCTAGACATCATAAGCAGAGAGGTAAAGTATACAAAAAAATCACATGTTGTAAAAAGAGTCAAATATTTGTGAGTAACTAGGTCAGCAAATTTACAAAATTGGAGTGTTTTCTGAAGTTGCATAATGTCTCAAATTTACTTTTTCTTATAAAGTAGGCATACAGATTGGTAAGAGCTTATACCAAGACAAATGAAAAAAGTTTAAATTTATATAAGTTACTTCCTTGAAAGAGAGCTGGATAGAATGAGAAATGTTTCATAGTTGTTCATGGACCTGGCTGTTTAGTCCAATTCCACATTTAGGAGGCAATACAAGAGAAGGATGGTTAATAATCCGGGCACCATGGGGGTCCGTATTTTTTTCTAAATATACATAAAAAATTGCTTTTATTTTGCTTTTTAAATTATTTTAATTACAGTTGGCATATATATTAGTTTAAGTTTACAACATAGTGATTAGACATTTATATTACTTACAAAGTGATCACCCTGACAAATCTACATCTGACACCATACATAGTTATTACAATATTATTGACTGTATTTCTTAGCCTATACTATTTTGTAACTATCAATTTGTACTTCTTAATCTCTTCCCCTTTTTCACCCACCTTCCCAACCCCCATCACATCTGGCAACCATCAAAATGTTCTCTGTATCTATGAGTTGGTTTCTGTCTTCTTTGTTTTATTTTGTTCTTTAGATTCCAATGTAAGTGAAATCATATGGTATTGTCTTTCTCTATCTGACTTACTTCACTCAGCAAAATACCCTCTATGTCCATTCATGTTGCAGGATTTCATTCTTTTTTTTTTTTTTATGGCTGAGTAATACTCCATTATATCTATGTACCACCTTTTCTTTATCCATTCATCCATTGATGGACACCCAGGTAGCCTCCATATCTGTACTACTGGAGATAATGCTGCAATGAACATATGGATTCTCATGTCCTTTCAAAGTAGTATTTTGGATTTCTTCAGATAAATACCCAAAGTGGCATAACTGGGTCTTTGTCTCTCATTATAGTCTTTGTTTTAAAGTCTATTTTGTCTGGTATAAGTATTGCTACCCCAGCTTTTTGTTTGTTTCTTATTTCATCAAACATCTTTTTCCATCTGTTTACTTTTAGTCTCTGTGTGTCTTTTGATCAGAAGTGAATCTCTTGTAGGCAGCATTTGTAGGGTCGTATTTTCTTATCCATTTACTCACCTATGTGATCTTAAGTCTCTTTAACATTTCTGGTAATACTGGTTTGCTGGTGATGAACTCCTTTAGCTTTTTCTTGTCTGGAAAGCTCTTTATTTGTCCTTCAATTCTAAATGAGAGTTTTGCTGTGTAGAGTAATCTTCGTTGTAGATCCTTGCTTTTCATCACTTTGAATATTTCTTGCCAGTCCCATCTGACCTGCAATATTTCTGTTGAGAATTCATCTGATACTCTTATGGGAGCTCTTTTGTCAATAACTAGACACTTTTCTCTTGCTATTTTTAAGATTCTCTGTTTGTCTTTAACTTTTAGCATTTTAATCATGATGTGTCTTGGTGTGGGCTTCTTTGGGTTCATCTTGTTTAGAACTCTCTGCTGTTTCCTGGGCTTTTATGTGTATTTCCTTTACCAGATTAGGGAAGTTTTCTGTCATTATTTCTTGAAATCAATTTTTGATTTCTTGTTCTCTCTCTTTTCTTTCTGATATCCCTATGATGAGAATATTGATGTGCTTGATTTTGTCCCAGAGGTCCCTTAAACTATCTTTGGTTTTTTGGACTTATGTTTTTGTTGCTGTTGTGATTGGGTGTTTTCTGCTATCTTATCTTCTAAATCGCTGATTTGATTCCCTGCTTCATTCGATCTACTGTTGATTTCTTCTAGTGTATTCTTCATTTCAGTTATTGTATTCTTCACTTCTGACTGGTTTTCTTTTACGTTTTCCATCTTAATTTTTGTCTTCTATCTCTTAAAGTTCTCACCGAGTTTATCTACTCTTCCCCAAAGTTCACTGAGCATCCTTATAACTGGCATTTTGAACTCTCATCTGGTAGATTGCTCATCTCCATTTTGTTAGTTCTTTTTCTGGAGATTTGTTCTGTTATTTCATTTGGGACTTTTTTTTGTCTCTCCATTTTGGTTAACTTCCTGTTTTTTTTTTTTTTCTATGTATCAGATAGGGCTGCTATATCTCCCAGTCTTAGTAGAGTGGCCTTATGTAGTAGGTGTCTTGTAGGTCCAGGGGCACAGTCTACCTGGTCACCTGAGCTGGGTGCTCCAGATGTGTCCCTTATATGGATTGTATGTGCCCTCTTGTAGTAGTTGAGTCTTGGTTGCTGTTTGCAAGTCAGTGGCATGGAGGGTTGACCCTGGGGCTGATTGGTCGTGAAGACTTGCCATGACTACAGTGGGGGGGAGGCTATTGTGCAGGGGCTGAACCTACAGAGCAAGATTCACTTTAGCAGGGCTTTGGTGCCTGCCCTGAGTGCCCTTTGGGTGCATCATCCTGGGCTATGGCCCCAGGTAGTGCTCCAGCTTAGACTGAAGCCGGCCACTGGGCATGCAGACTGGGGCTTTCTGAAAGTGGCCCCACTGCAGGCCAAGTTTAGTCGCAGCCTGTGCCCTGCCTGGAGCCACCTGGAATGAGCCACCAAGCAATATGCCAATGGTCACCAACCACACTGAGCTTGGAGGTGCCTTGAGAGGCCAAGCTACAAACCGAGGCTGGCTGCCACTAGTGCTAGGCTTGAGGCTGCTCAGCAAGAGGTATGGGGCTCAATGAGGCCAGATGCTGCTTGTTTAGGTTATATGAACATTTGAGAGATTTTAGTAAAGTCCACGGTATGAGCCAAGACAGTCTGTTTGTATGAAAAATCCACTGCAAGCAGCTTAAGTGGGCTCACAAGTTGAGTGGGGTGAGGTCTAAGGGAATCACCAGGTGGGGGAACCAGAGTTTTAGTCAGATTGATGGAGGATCAGATATGGTGGCCACCTCTGTTTGCAAGCCAGGTGAGGGAGAGTTCAACAAAGGAACCATGGTTTCTCCCAGTACTTCCTCCCTGTATATCTCTGGGATCTTTTAAGTAGCTACCTTAGTGCTCGAGCTTAGAGAGAGTGAATCCATCAGGAGGTCAGTTCATACACAGGCCCCTTCAAAGAAACATCTGTAGTTCCCACACCCCTCCATCTAACTCTGCCACAATCTCTGCTGGTTTTCACCGCCAGAAGTTGTGGGAACTTCTCTTCTCAGCATTAGAAACCTGGGCTGGGGAGCCCAGTGTGGAGCTGGTTCTTCTTGCTCTCTGTAGCTAAGATATTCCACCCAATTTTCAACCAGCACATGTAAATGTGGGACCTGCCCATTTCATATCTCCTCACCTCTTACCAGTCTCGTGGTAACCTCTTCTGTATATCTCCAGCTGTAGGACTTCTGTTCAGCTAGATTTCAGGTGCTTCTCAATGATGGTTGTTCTGTAGTATAGTTTTATTTTTAATGTGGTTGTGAGAGGAGGCAAGCACAGCATTTACCTACTCCACCATGTTGACCAGAAGCCCCTGGCATCCACATTTTGAAAAAACAAATGCGGTAGGGCATAGAGAGTGTAGAAGAACATGAAGACAGTTGATTGCATCCCTAACCACATTAGTCGCATATTTTAATATGAATGTACTGTAGATTGCCATAGTAGAAAAGTCTTTTCAACAATTATGGATCTTCATGGTCTAGTCAACAGGTCGGAACCATCTTTACATTGTACATACTCTTAAGCCCATGCCAGTTGCCTACCAGCTTCACTAGAGTCCTTATTTGAATCCGTCAGTGGCTTAGCAGGTTCTGAGTAAAGGAAGGGATGGTAGGTATTATAAAGGCAAAGATGCTAAGAATGATGAGGTGGTCCATTCTCATGTTTCTAACTAAACATAAAATTGATCTTTATGAGCCTTTTGGAGATCTACATTTTTTGAACATTTCTTAAGCTTTCTTTACACCCAAAGCAAAACAGATGAGGCAAATATTCACATGATTAATATCAGGCAGATAGTTCTCCCCATCTCTCCTTGTTCTATTAGTGTGTTTTTTTCAGTTCTGAATAATATGCCTCAATTTTGGTGGCATCTAAAACCAAATTTGAGGTATTATATACAAAGAATATTAATATATTAAGATATACTGATAGATCATGATATGGGTGGACCTAGAGGTTATTATGCTGAGTGAAGTAAGTCAGAGAAAGATAAATACCATATGATTTCACTTCTATGTGGAATCTAAGGAACAAAAGGAACACTAAACAAAAACAAACTCACAGACACAGAGAACAATCAGGTAAGTGCCAGAGGGGAGGAGGGTTGGTGGGCTGGGAGATAAAAGTGAAGGGATGAAGAAGTCCAAATTAGTAGTTACAAAAGAGTCAAGGGGATGTAGAGTACAACATAAGGAATATAATCATTAGTATTGTAATGGCTATGGGTCGAGCCAGATGGGTGATAGAGTAATTGGGGGGATCACTTCATAAACTATATAAATGTCTAACCAATGTACTGTATACATGAAACTAGTTTTGAAAAAGTTAAAAAAAAAGGGTATGCAAATAGAAATAGTATGGCAAAGACTTCTAAAATTCAGTGAGACTCCTTGACGATATCAGACTAATGAAATCAAAAGTTTTGCAAAACCCAGTACATAGTTTTAAAACAATAAGATCACGGATAATAATTCTAAAAGATATGCTGAATTTACTGACTGAAAATATGGAAAATAATTATTTTTCAAAGGATACTCAAGATTCAAAAACAGCGTCAAGGAAGGAAATGATAAAAAACCATACCAAGGAACTTCTGGATTCAAGTCTGGACAAAGCCCTTTAAACAGTCAGCCTTTAACTAAACAGGTAAATAAATACCAAGAATTAATCAATATAAAAGGTCCTAAATTTAATATATTTCTTAATATTAAGGAAAATTTTAAATTCTGTTGAGAGAAAAGGTTGTTTCTTACTATTCCTTCATGATTCCTTGAACATTAATATTTGTTAATATTTTCTTGTAACTGTTTTGATAAACATTTAATTTTTGCTATTTTCAATCATTACTCGAAATTTTGAATTTATAACAGGCCAAAAGAGATTATTGGTTTTGTGATTTGTCTTGTATAATCATTATTATTTTTGCTGTTGGGATATATTATAGTTGTACAAATTCATCACTTCTAAACTTTTCATAGGTGAGCCAGTCACTGGATAGGAATCTGAAGGGTGCTCATATCCAGATTCATTAGCCAACGTTGATGCTACTGTTTTAGCCTATAACCTGATCCTTCTTAAGATGTTATGTGGTCATTTAGTAAAAATGATGATTCTGGGAGCTTAAATAATTTTTGCGAAATTATGTAAATGCAATTTTTTTTGGAGAGGAACTTGTTGCATTTTTGAATATTTTGAGTATTAATTTAAATTGATTTAGTAAATACTTATTAAATGTTTTCTATGCAGGCACTATGCAAGATACCAGAACAGCCCTGCTTCAAATATTATATGTAATGATAGGAGAGAAAAAAGAAAAATTTAATGCCAGGAAGGTCACAATACATATTCTAATAGGAGTATAAGTTATATATTGTGGAGATGCAGTAATTCATTCTGATTGAGAAAGTTTGATGTAGGAGATGACATTTAGTCTGTAGGGTGAAGAGGTTTTTCATAAAATTTAGAATAATGGACATGAGCTTATGTCGGCTATATGAGCTTACATGATGCATAAATGAACTAAGAGTACTATAAAACAACATTTTCAAATTGAAAGCATCTTTCTCTCATACTTTTGAGACTATCATTATAGCAGAACTCACCAGAGAAAAGTACTTTTCTATAA